TTGGAAGAATGGTCAAAAATTCCTATAAACACACTCCTCAACCTTGTGGACAGCCTTCCCAGAAGAGTTGAAGCTGTTATAGCTGCAAAAGGTGGACCGACATCATATTGAACCCTATGGGTTAGGAATGGGATGGCACTTAAGTTCATATGTGAGTCAAGGCAGGTGACCGAATACTTTTGGTAATATAGTGTATATATATATATGTGTGGGGGTCAGTGTATGAAATGCAGCTAAAATTGAAGATGATTTTGCTCTCTCTCTCTCTCTCTCTCTCTCTCTCTCTCTCTCTCTCTCCCTCTCTCTCTCTCTGGGTCTACCACTATCTCTGTATCTCTCTGTCTCTCACAATCTTTCTCTGTCCCTGTCTCTTTCTCTCTCTCTCTCTCATGTAGAATTAAACTGGGCAAATGTGCTGAACAGTGGGGAAGGTCAGGAGAGTGTGATGAGTCCACACTGCACACCACGCACTCGCTGTCCTTATTTATGTGTTGAATAATGGAGTAGAAACAGATTGTTAAGAGCTGACAAGTGCAATTTAGTATACACACACAATGTGTATCCTATTCTGAAATGTCATTATAGAGACGCATCTCTCTTTCTCTCTTACACACCCTCTTGGGTGTAATTAAGATGTTTGACATGCATACATGTACACACACATACACACACACACACACACACACAGCAAAAGGCCACAAGATAAGTGAACAACGTATGGTCTAAATGCCATTACTTATTATTCATGTGAGTCGGAGTAAATCAGCTATGACTGCTTCATTTAAAACCCCATAAATTTCACTTGCACACTAACAACGCAGTCAGTCTTCAGACATGTTCAACATTCGGTATGTTTAGGCTGCACTGATCTATAGCATTTTCATTAATCATTATAGAGTTGTATATTCTGTAATGCTTAATAAAATAGTCACCATCAATAAATATTTAGTTTTTATATTTTTCATGCTTAATGACCCTACATAAGCACTCGCCTTGTATCTAAACACATTCTTGGCTAATTTAGTGCATCGGTTTGAGTTTTGTATCACATTGCTGTTGAATTCTGGATTCTGAATGCTCAGAAGGTGTTGATTAGTTTTCTACAACAGCAACTCTGACGATAGTGCAGCTGCAACTCACAGGTTCATATTAATGTGCTCTAACTACTATGTTATCATTTCTGTGGTGAGGGCATGACCGTTTATAGCTGCTATAATGAATGGGAACTAGTCGTGGCCTAATGGTTCGAGAGTCAGACTTGTAACCAGAAGGTGAACCCGAAGGTTGCGGGTTTGAGTCTCGGGTCTGACAGGGATTGTAGGTGGGGGGAGTGAATGACCAGCGCTCTCTTCCACCCTCAACACCACGACTGAGGTGAGACCCTTGAGCAAGGCACCGAACCCCCAACTGCTCCCCGGGTGCCGCAGCTAAAAAGGCTGCCCACTGCTACGGGTGTGTGTGTGTGCACTTGGCTGGGTTAAATGCAGAGCACAAATTCCGAGTATGGGTCACTGTACTTGGCCACGAGTCAAGTCACTTCACTTCTAACTATAAATGGATTAAAAGTATGACATGTTATTCTTTAATTTAAAAAAATTACTGTGGTATAAAAGGAATAGAACAATTTGGGTCCCTGGAGGACTAGTGATTATGCCACATCGCTCTCACCGCTGTCCACCGCGGCCCAGGTTCGATTCCCAGCCAGGGAACCAACCCCACTGGGGTTACCTGCAAGAGTGCACACGCAGTGCCGGTTCCAAGCCCGGATGAAATTGGGCAGGGTTGCATCAGGGAGGGCATCTGGCGTAAAAACTGTGCCAAATCAAATATCCAGACCCATCCTCTCTTGCCATTTAACTAAAAGTGCCATTCTAACATTCTAAAATATTGATTTATTTTATTCCCTTTTGTATTATTATTTTTTAGCTACGTCATTATTTACATTTATGGCATTTGGCAAACGCCCTTATCCAGAGCGACTTACAAAAGTGCTTAGAAGTCTATCCAAAATACATTCTGATGTTGGCTCACTAGATCACAAACTAGGAATATCATCAGTCCCAAACTCTGTTGGGGAGGTTATTTATTTATTTATTTATTGTAAGTGCTAACTTAAGTACTTTATGAAGAGGTAGGTCTTTAGACGTCGTTTGAAGACTGCCAGTGACTCAGCTGTTCGGACATCTAGGGGAAGTTCATTCCACCACCTTGGTGCCAGAACAGAGAAGAGTCTTGATGCAGGCCTTCCTCGTACCCTATCTATTTTAATATTTTAATTATATATATATATATGGAAAGCCAAGACACCAGTCTGACTGAAATCAGTCAGTAATTAGAAAGCAATCCTGCCCCTTGTCAGTGCAAATCAGCTGCTTCAGTCCCAACAGAGATGGCCTATAAAAAGGTGTCTCATTACCAAGGGTGTCACACAGGAAACATCTCATGATGGGTAAAAGCAAAGAGCTCTCTCAAGACCTTCACAACCTTATTGTTACAAAAAATACTGATGGCATTGGTTACAGAAGGATTTCAAAACTTCTGAATGTTCCAGTGAGCACTGGTGGGGCCATAATCTGGAAGTGGAAAGAACATCATTTCACCATAAACTGGCCAAGGCCAGGTGCTCCCTGCAAGACTTCTGACAGAGGAGTGAAAAGAATTATCAGAAGAGGTGTCCAAGAGCCAAGGATATATATATATTTTTATTATTTTTTTTTTTTGACTTGATTATTTAGATCCTCTGTGGCAACCCCTAAGGGGAGCAGTCTGAAAAAGGAACAACAACACCAAGAAGAGGAATAAAACACTTGGAGACATGTTGTTAGGAAAATAGTCAACTTTGGAGTGGTAACTATCAACTATCAACGCTTGTTGATTATTTTACTATAACAGCACCACACAGGGTGTTTTATTCCTTGTCTGTTGCAAGTTAATGTTCAATACACCAATGAGATTTTCAGATTGTCATGTTACAAACAGACTGCTGTTTATTTTGTGTGATGATTCAAGTCTTGGTGTTTAAAATGAATTATGGTGGGTTGTTTTTTTTTTCTGTTTTTATGACTCCCTCATGTTTTAACAATATGCAAATATCGCACTGTGTTGAGTGCATGTCTTACGTAATATCCTACCTGCTGGTGTAATTACTCACATGCTCATCACTGGGACGTATGACACACAACACATCAAGGTTTTTCACACAATTTACATGCATGTCGCATATGGAATGACTTAGTAATTTATGCTCCCTTTTAGCACCCATCCTACAAATGCAATCCTGAAATGGTTTCTCGCCCTCTCTCCAACTCTACTGCACTTTCACCGCTCCAGCTGAGAATTTTATTTCATCATGGAGATGGAGGGTGTGTGATTATCGACCTCATGACCTACTGCTCATTAGGTCATCACAGAAAAAGCATGCAGGAGGTGGTTATGTCATGTTAAAAGGGTAAAACAGTAAATCAGACGTGACATAAATAAAATGCTGTGGCCTTATGGCTTTTTGATGAAATTTACATTATTCGTTTTTCTGCATGAGCTCTAATTTGTGCCCTTTTTGTGTTAACATGCAACAGGGACTGTCTAGAAATCTTTTAGTTTATACATGGAAAAATATTGGCATGTCAGTGAGTCAACATATTGAAATGAATCATTTGTTATATCAATCATACTTTTTTTATCCACTTGTTTAATTTCATCTTTTGTTAGCCAGCTAACATTCATTTTCCAGCCTGCTCCTTCATGCTCATTCATGCTCCTCAGTGCTAATACTAGCTAGTTGGAAAACATAAGCTAATAGGATAACATAAACTTGACAGGATATCTGAAAAAAAATACTTCTGAATACAAATCAAAAGCTTCTTTTGATTGCCAGGTACTTACTGATGTTTGGGCTTTCTTTAGGGCTCAAACCACTTAAAGACACGCCCATCAGGTCTGAAGTCTTAATTTTTTAATTATTATTTGTTTTCTGAGAAACCTGTGAATAAATATCTTATTCATAAATGAGTTGCTGTTAAGTTTTGTATGCATGAATGGATATAATTCTAAATGTTTAGAAAATGTCCATGATGAATCTGTCCTCTACTGACCATCCAGCAAGTTATGTCCTTATTTCATTTTCATTTCCTTTAACCCATATTTCAAAATGGACTACAAGTGCAAGAATATAAATTGGATGTCTGTGGACCTCATCTTCACATATAACATGTCATATATAAAACCTATAGTGACTGCCAGCTGTAATGTTTTGAGTGAAGCATTGGTCTGGTATTGTGTGCTCATTATTTTGTGCCACTAAAAAAATGCAGAGCCCTGGGAATGTATGGCCTTGGTACTAGAGATCCTTGGGAACACAAACCCCAGGAACAGAAGCATTTGGAAAACAGGTCCCTAGGAACATAGGCATTGGATATATAGAGCTTAGGGAACATAGATGCCTGTGAACACAATCCTTGGGAATATAGAGCCCTGGGACCAGAGGAATTGGGAATATAGAGCCTTGAGAAGATAGAGCCCTGGAAAAACAGGCATTGGGGATATAAAGCCTTGCAAACATAAACCCTAGGGAACACAAGCCTTGGGAATATAAAGACATGGCACCAGAGGAATTGAGAATATAGATCCTTGGGAACATAGAGCCCTGAGAACAGGGGCACTGGGAATATAGCATCTTGGGAACATTGAGAGCTGGCAACAGGCATTGAGAATATAGTGCCTTGGGAATGTAGATCCTTGGGAACAGATGACTAAGAATATGGCCATTGGAGATATAGAGCCTTGAGAACACAGAGCCTTGGGAATACAGGCATTGGTGATATTAAGCCTTGAAAAAAATTATCTTTGGGAATACAGGCAATGGGAATATAAAGCAATTCAGAAGGTAGAGCCCTGGGAAGACTGCCATAGGAGATATAGAGCCTTGAGCAGGTAAAGCCCTAGGAACACTGGCATTGGGAATATAAAGCTATGGGAACACAGACATAAGCTAGGTAAAATAGTGAATTGGGAATGTAGATCCTTGGAAGCATAGCGCCTTGGGAACATAGAGCCCTGGGAACCAAGAACCCCAGGAATGTAGAGCCATACAAGTATAGGGCCATGGGAACATAGAACTGCAGGAACAGAGGCATTGGTGATATAGAGCCTTGGGATCATAGCACCCTGGGACCACAGACATTAGAAATATAGGGAACATGGAGAAATCTTGGGAACATGGAGCCCAGGGTTTTACAGTCACTGGGAATAGAGGCTTAGGAAGGTAGAAGCCTGGGAATATAGGTCCTTGGGAACATAGGCCTCTGAGAACACAGGCATTGGGAATATCGAGTCTTGGGAACATAGAGCACTGGCAGTATAGGGAACATGAGAAGTTTGGAATATAGAGCCTTAATATAGAGCAATGTGAATATAGATAAGCTCCTCTAGTTTTAGCCAGTTTACCAGGTTTACACGTTCACTAACATAAGGCAACCTACAGAGTTCTCGAGATGTGACTCACTTTGGAACGGACCAATTTAGACTCAGGAAGGGGAAGGTGCATTCTGGTGACTGTGCCCCCCTCACTTCAAACGCACATGCTGCCTATCACATACTGAATATTTGTACTGTTACTGTGATTGGAACCTTCCAATGTGAGTCACCTTCACTAAATTTAGGATCCGTCCATGAGAGAACCTGCTGTTTCCTGACACCAGAGAAAGGGCAGAGAGTGACATGGGGAGAGGAGCTCTTTATAATAACATTTGATTTATATGCAGCCCCTGTGTTAAGGCCTTGTCAATTAGAGAGAAAACAGACACCCAAACAGAAAGACAGGAAAATGCAATAGGATAAATGGATTATACAAAGGAGACAGATTTAGCGAGAGTTTAGCGCACTGCGTGTGTGTGTGTGTGTTTTTTGAGCCCTTTTTTGTAGATAACAGCTCATAAAACTTTTAAATCTCTAATGGCCTGAATCACACTGTCTCCAAGTGAGATGTATTGTTCCCTGTTTGCTCTGTGTTCCTCATTTGTGAGACTTTCAAACTAACGCTGGACTACAAAACACCGGCAAAATCCAGGAGACCAACACTGTGCACAAATAATTAAACACATCATCTTTACACAGCAGCAGCTTTCAGACAAACCTTTTAGAGAGGGCCAAAGGGAGTATCACTGCTGTTTACTTGCCCTCTTATTCAACAGATTTAATGATTTTGTATCACTACAATTTTAGTCACTACTGTTTGCAATATAGAGCTTTGGAACATAAGGCATTGGGAATATAGGATACTGGAAATATAGGATACTGGGAAAATAGGAACTTGGGAATAATTCTGACTTCTTGATTCTGGTGACTCTAACCTGCTCCTAAGTGTAAATGTGTTACTGAAAGTGTGTCTCCTTAAGGGTGCATTCCTGCCTTGCACCCAGTACTCCCAGGAAAGGCTTCGCATCCACTATAAGCCCTGTGCGGGATAAAGCGCTTACTGAAGATGAATAAATGAATGTTGTGTTTAGGGTCGTTAGTCGGGTTTTCAGAAAAGATTGGAATTTAAATTTCTCTGATTTCTGGATACAACACAAACATGGAAAGGTACTTACAAAGAAAGAGAGCTGGGGAGACAAATGGACGGAGATAGTGAGACACAAAGAGAGACAGATGAGACAGAGAGATAGACGCATCCATTGTAAGAGAAGATGGGAGCCAAGGGATAGGAGGAAAG